CACACACACACACACACACACACACACACACACACACACACATATGCAGATTAGCACCCCCCCCTTACGTGGATGTTGTTGTGGAAATGGCCGATGGCCTTCTCCAGGTGCTTCATGGGAACCAGCATGTCCTGGACCACGTGGTGCTGCTCGTACAGCTTGCGGATGGTCTCTCCCTGTGTCAGTTTCAGCAGGGAGATTTTGGGAGGCACCATCCAGCCAAAGAGATATCGAAAGATGGGGTTGTTCCCAAATGGGATAATGTCCTAGGGCAGGGGGAATGTAACCTTATCAGGCAGAAATAGTGCTTATACACTCCTCACACACTCCATATGCACCCCATACGCACCCCTCACACACTCCATATGCACTCCATATGCACGTTTTGGCAATAATTTACTTATTGCCAAAAATCAAGTGACTTGAGTCATGACAGATTAATTATTTATGTTGGAGACCATTGCAGAAATTTGGGGAGGAGAATGGAAAAATGGAGGATATTGCAGCTGATCTGAACTGTTTAAGTTGTGAGGTTCAGCAAGAGACTATAGGCCTCCTGTCCCAACACTGACTGTCGCATCGGGGAGAGCTGAGAGTGATGCCCGTTTAATGCCTGCAGTACCTGTAACTCCCAGAAGATACTGCGGGTGTGTCTATGGTAGTAGTGCCTCAGGGGGATGTACTCCACAGCGCCGCGGCTCTCCCGCAGAAAGCCCTCCACGTGCTTGAAGAACCAGGGCTTGTAATAGCGGCCGATGCGGTTGACCTGGGGAAGACGGGGTGGAAGACGAGGTGATGCCTGCTAGAAGCTTCCTCATGCAGCCTGTTCGGCTTTGGAGCACCAAGGTGAGTGAGACCAACAGGAACAGATTAAATTGTCTTGAAGTCGACTCATTGGAAAAGCAGGAACACTGAGGTGGCAACCAAAACAAATGAGATCACTGACGAGGCCGGATCCGGGGGGGCCGCCCACCTTGTCCGGCTCAGCCTCGTCCGTCATGATTCCCGTCATGATGACGGCTTCGTCCTGGGAGAAGAGCAGCCCCTCCACGAACTGGTTCTCTTTGTCGGCGGACTCCTGGGCGAAGCGTTGGCAGATGGCACCAATGCCTCTAACTGGCATGTAGCTGAGCTTCACCCAGGCCCGCGCCGGAATGATGCGGATCTCGGCAGCTACCAGAAAGCCCAGAGTGCCACAGGACCAAGGGACAGCATAGTACAGGTCGGAGTTCTCTTTCTGTGATAGCCGAGGGGGGGGGGGGGGGGGAAGACAGGCCATGATACATCTGAGCCACATTCTGGATACATTCCTGGGTTACAGCCTCCTATCAACCAAAAAAAAAAAAAAAAGTGATTCCAGTACAGGATAACGCTCAGCCAGAGCCGATTCCAGGAAGCACAAAGTATGGGGCAAGGGCGCCCCCTGGTTGTGATGCCAGTCCATGGCAGGGCACAACCTCACAGCGATTTAAAGATGCCCATTCACCTGAGCACATGCTAACAGTAGCCAACGTACAAGAAGTTATGCATCTATGAAAACGCAAAGCCTTAAACACACAAAAAAAAAAATCCATCAAAACTGCATCACGTACAACTCAAAATGTGCTCCAATTCTTGTAGTTTTCCAATGTAATGTGACAACACCCTGTAACATACACACACCCACACGATAATGAGACCACAAGAGGCCTGGCAAAGCTACAGGCACCTCTGGGGACAGCAAAAAAAGGACCCACTGTGCCCAAATGATGGCAAGCACCTCAGTGGAGATGACAGGAGAGTCTCAGGCACAGAATCATCGTATAAGTTCACACGCAGATCCCCGACACAAACACACGAGACACGTGTGCTTGTGACAGGAGAGGGACTCACGGCAGTGCAGCGAACCAGGCTCCCGTCAGCCAGCACCAGCTCATAGGCGACACAGATGTGCTGGAAGAGGCCATAGATATGGGAGGACGACTCGATGCCTGTTCCCATTATCAGGCCCCCTGAAAAGCACATGGAGCCGTGATGTCACAGGGACCACCAAAAAAAACATCCACTGTACATAATTTAAGTTCAATTTTACATGAAGCAGGACATGCGCAAGCTAAGTTTCTGGGTGTTTAGCAAACCCTCGGGACGGAAGAGCTCGCCAGCTTAGCAAATACATCTGCTGGGGCGTACCCACGGTGAGATCGTCAAGCTCGGGCAGCACAGGCAGGGTCCAGCCAATCGAGTTAAGGAGGGCGGTCACCTGACCCATGTTCACAAGAGGTTCCACACGCACTACCTGTTTTGAAGCAACAGTGAAGCAGGAGGCACAGTATTAAAGATCGACTTGCTTTGGTTATTTTACTCCAGCGAGTGAGTAAACAGAGTGAAGGCTGGACATGTGCACTTCTGGAGGCCTCACCTGTCGCTTAGTGTCCACCTCCAGGATGTCCATGAGGTTAATCATGATGTTCTTATGAGTCTTCTTGTACTTGCCCACCCTCAGCGAGACGGTGAGCCAGCCCGGGCGGCCTGTGCACATGTATGCCTTTCCGCCTTGCTTTCTCCACTCTCGAACCTACCGCCAAGGGCCAAAGATTCACAGAAATGAAGATGACAACTCAGAACCCTTTTGATCATAAAATATGTTTATTCCAAGTTGGATTCACAAAATATTGAACACAGAGACCAGAACACTCTGATCTGTCCCCATACTTTACTGTGTGAGGCTGCGCATACCAGATGCATACAGAACCAAACCAAGACAAAAACCCAGGTGAGGCGTCAGACTTGGCAGAACCAAACTCATGCGGCCCAAACTGATCTGACCTCATACCGTCAAAATCACCTTTTTGAAATAATACAGCCACCCTGTAGCACCGGCTCACTGAACCATGAGCCACAAACCCGCCCAAGGTGTACATGAGCTTGGTGAACACACACATATCACACCTGAACCCAAGAGTAACAAACCGAACACGTCATTAACATGTCCAACCGAGGGTTTCCACAAACCATTCCTCCGCATGCAGGCATTGCTGTGTTGTGATTTGCTTACCGAGGGCACAGCCTCAGGTAAACGATTAACCAAATAAATACACTCTGCCATTATGAAAAAAGAATCTCAAACACACTGTTTTGTTTATCATAGCGGAAGACTGTCTTTGTTTATGATCAGCCATGAAAACGTGTTCAGACACACAGCAGCCTGACCATAACATCACCACTTCAGTCTTCTCGGATCCCTTACTTGTCTCTGTATGTCGCGGACACGCTGGTCGTGCTGTTTCGGAGCGGAGCACATCTTGAAAATGAGCCAGGCTCGGACATAGTAATACACATCGAAGATCACGGACAGGGGCAGCAGGAACAGGCACACGAATATCCACCTTTGGTGAATGATCACGTAGTCCAGCCCCTTAACTTTAACCCAGAGCAGAAACACTACGATTAACCCGCTAAGATATAAAACCGGACCCATTTCCCCCCCAATTACTGCACCGTTTTTTTTCTGCGTTAATACTGAATCGATTCTGCAAGTCCAATGCTGGCAGATCTTTAGGAAATATCTTGATATGCTAGTTATACTCCTCTGGGAGCAAGTGCATGCACGTCCTTTCAGCTGGTCACATCCGGAGTCAAAATAACCTTCTCAGAACAGGATTGACTTTATTGCAAACGCAGGAATTAATTCTTTACGGTCTTCGAGACGCTGCTGCAGAATTTGGCCACTGAATGAGAACCGGTCGCAGAGGTGAGCACACCTCCTCCGGCGTGTGGCAACTCGCCCCGCCCCCAGAAGTGCTGATTGGCACAGACGTCACCAATCTCATCAGCACCCGGTCGCGCGCCTGCGGCTCTCATCCAATAGAAATTGGGAAAAGCGTCACACCATTCACCGGCCATGTGGGCGCGCCTCACAACAATTAGATAAAGGCGAAGCTTATGGAGCACGACAGACTGCGCATAGATCAATCAAGTATCGCCGCACATTGCAAATTTTTCAGACATTTCAGGCGCTTTTTTATTACGTAAATTCTTCCAAGCACCTTCTGTTCCTGTGAAAAGTCAATTTTCTTAGTTTTAATTCTTTTAAGCCAAGCATAACAGAACGTCAGCAGAATAGATGGACAGCTGGAGGACAGGACGAATATTTAATTTAATGCCACACAGGAAGACATATCAATGTTAATTTTCCAAAGGATTAATAACAAAGAAAACAAAATAATCAGACAGGAAAAACCCAATCTTTGTAAAAGGCTGTGCATTCCAGTTTATTTATCAAAGATTACCATAACCAAACTGCTGTACAAATTAAAACTCAGTCTGACATGCATTACATGATTCCAACCCCCAAGTTCCAGCAGGAAATGAATGTCCAAAGCAAGAAAATGACACTGAATAAAAACCCGTATTGATGCCTATCCCCACCTCACCCCAGTTAAAATCAGAAAGGATTGACTGACACCTTCTCAGACAGTTGTGGTCACCAGGAGAATGGGGGGAGGGGGGCTTCCTTACAGTTTGATGCTTCTAAAGGTGCCCTGCAATCAGCTGCACTGAGTAAGGGAAACTATGTCCTTGGCAAAATTGTCACATTGGGAGATTTTCCGATTGTATGTTTTAATTTTCTAAACATCAGCTTGTCATCCAAATAAATCCTCTGGAATCAAAAGGTGTCAGAGAGAGGGGGAAAGTGTGTTAACATCAGCGCCTTATATAGAAGGCATACGGAGCAATGAGCTATGACGTCATCCGCCCTGTTCACACGCTCACCTTCAGCTGTAATTGCGTCACTATTCTATCAGGTACACTGTGCAACGAAGTAAAGGAACAGTAGTTTTTTTTTTTGTTTTTTTTAAAGTTGCATATCAAGATGGTTTCCCATAAATTCCTCACTGGGTTTACCAATAAACTGATGTTTAAGAGGTGAAGCTCTGGAAACCACAATTACACACAAAGGCATATGCAAAAAAAAAAAAAAAAAAAAAAAAAAAAAATTCAGCAAACATTCAGCTTGAGAGGGAGAGAGAGCGAGAGAGAATCACTTACAGTCATGAGGTGAATTCAAGCCACAGGCGTCCAAGTGTAGGGGGTAAAGTCACCTCCTATACAGTTGCTTCCATAACAAAACACTTATCAGCAGAATTAAATGCTTACATCCCTTTTCAATGTTCATATAGTTCAGTGCATCAATCACTCCACTACTGTCCCGGACAGAAGGATCAGCAGGTTACTATTCCTCTGAAGGCGCTGAGCCGTGCCAAATGTGCGGCCTGAGCCACCTTAAGTGCGGCTTCAATATTAAAAGGTGACCAGGTCCCGCCTTCCTTTGCTAAAAAGCACCAATCACAGGCAGCTGTGTGATACTGCCGAAGGGTAGCTCAGAAGCCCCCACGTATCTGTCACTCATTCTCCCTGCTGTGCTTTTCAGCACTAATGACGACCAAAGGGAGGGGAGGTTACATCACCAAGCCATCTCACTGTCAGGAAGGCTAAGGTGAAAGATCTGTTCAGTGGGCTCCAGGCAAAAAAAAACTAATAAAAAAAAAGGTTCTCTCTTTCTGTCTCTCTCCCTTCAACTTTGTGCACATAGGTGTGAAGATAAGGCAGATGAAGCTGCAACATTAACACATTAAAGCTGGCAGCACCCGCTAAACATGGAGGCTCAGCACATGGAGGCTCAGCACATGGAGGCTCAGCACATGGAGGCTCAGCACATGGACCCTCCTCTGAACATCCCCCCCGACAGCGACGGGCAGGCCGTGTCAAAAGCCCCTGCATCGGCATCTCTTAAGGGGTAAAGAGACCCGAAGGAGCGGTGGGCTGTCACAGGCCACTCCATAGCCTGGGCATCCCTTAGGAAAGTCACATGATCTCCAAACCAGTTGACACAGCAAACACGGACGCGGGAAGGGTACTTGCATGGGAGTCCATAGCGTGAGGCACGCGCTCGGAAAGGACACTGCATCTGGAGAGTAGAGGACCTCTTCTAATATGTTGGCACCTACGACCTCTGTGGTCTCTCCGGCTAGACTACCGCCAAAAGCGCACCCCCCTGCTCCAATCCCATAAGGCATTGCAAACAAAAGTTCCTATAGGCAGTCTGAAGATTTCACAACTGAAATCACAACAGTAAAAACAAGGGTGATGGATGCTGCAGCAGACGGCCGCCACACCGGCTGTCGTGTTTGGTGACGCAGTCTCTTCGCAGGCCACCGGATGCTCTCAGTTGCATTTACGCACCTTCAGACTGTCCGCCGGGTTCAATCCGGCTCCAAGCCGACCCAGGTTCCCAAGATCTCCTGCGTTTCTGCGAGACACTATCAACGTGTCCAAAGCAGAGGCCCAGCCAGGCGGCTGACTTACAGTTTATGTCCCAAAACACCTGAAGTTAATATAGCACCTCAATCACCTCCCCACTGAAACTGGGTTTTTCACACAGCGAATCTGTTTGCAAGCCTCTGCCCTCATACAAATTAAACCATATTAAAAAAAGCATCTTACTCCCAGAAGGACACCAGCCAAAGTTGCTTTCATCAGATATAGACTAAAATTGACCTTAAAGTGCATAAGAACAGGATTAGTAATTATATTTGTCTTAACATTCACAAACATTGGTGGGTCCCTCCTGGAGAAGATCACACAAGTATTTTTTCCATAAATCAACTCAGAAGAAAATAGGATCTTTAAAATATGTAACATTTGAAATTAGAGCTATAGAACAAATCTTTACAGCATTTGGAATATCTCGCATTTAATTACATTGGCAAATACCAAGTTTAATGGAATAAAAAAAAAAAAAACAAACAAAAAAAAAAAACAAAAATAAACGCAATAATTGATTTCTGAACTAATTAAACCTTGCCTCTATGCTCATGGGTGGATTTAGTCCATGAATTGTTTTATTATATAATAAAACTTTTTAGCCCCTTAGTGATGATCAGCTTACATAAAAAATATATATATAAATTTGAGGCCAGTGACTCCTGTATTTGAGCAGGGCGACCCCTGCTGACCACAGCCAGAAGGGAGGTGTCCTTTGCAGGCATGGCGTCTCCTAGCACCCAATGGGAAGGAAACGTCCTGACCAGTAACATCACTCCCACACAGACCCCTCTTGTGTCTTCTTGAACTCAGTATGAAGATGCCTCTTGTCCAACCAGGATTGCCAAGTGCCTCCTGCAGGGGGAGCTCCCTCATTGCTGGTAGATATTATTAGGGGTCCACGTCTTCCAGGTCACTCTTGGAGTCTCCTAACATCATGGGAGATTCTGAGCCCTAAGATGAGAGAGAGGAATTGCCCTTCTCATCAAAGGTTTACATAAACATATGGTAACAGGTTCCAAATGCCTGCATAACACACATTGTTATTTTAAGTGAAGCTCATTTCTTCATATTCCAGGTGATGTTCCTCAACGCTCTGCAGACCACCGTGGCTTTAATTCACATCAAACACGGGGCACCTCAGCCCATGAGTCCTGCACTCCTGCTGGCCCAGACACCAAGGATGCAGGGCAGCGGCAAGCAAATCAGCTCCACGGGGCAGTACCTGTCTCAGGCTGCGCTCGGAGTTCTCGTTGGCGGGGCTGCCGTCGGAGCCGTTGCTGCTGCCCGACTGCTCCTTTTCGTTCAGGAGAGCTGTGGCGTAGGCCAACGTGTCCTGGGGGGGGGGTGGAAAAACAGCTTGTCAACAGCGGTGGGAACTAAGGTCTGAAAACGTGAGAGCGACATGCTCTTCTGAGGGCTCCACATCAACTGGGTTAGACAAAGCAGAAGTTCATTACAGAAAGCTACCACTGGGGGGGGGGGCGGGTCATCCATCCATCCATCCATCCATCCATCCATCCGAGGGTCTGGGGAAGTGGCATCACAGGACACAGGGATGGGGTAACAGGGTTCCTACTGTCTGCCATCAGCAGCTCACCCTACCTGTGCTGAGATTGTGCGCTGGAAGGTTTTGGCAGTTGATGTTTCATTTGAAACGTTGCTCTGGGGGGTCCAGTAGTGTTCTGACATCTAGAACAACAAAACACGATTCTCTTATTCATTGCACTTGGGGAAACTGGGCAGTTTTCATGCCAACTAATTCTCCGTGACAGAAAGACATGCTTGGATTTGTAGGCGAGTACGTTTTGGGGTCAGCCAGCACCCAGCTCTTCTGGAGCACTTGGTGTTGAGGCCCTTGCTCAAAGTCCCAATGAAAACAGGTAGAGATTTCGCAATATCACGATTAAAAAAAAAAAAAAAAGTCTTGATACCATTATGGAAATGTGACGATATCTACTAGGATTTACATGGTTATTTCAGGAACACAGCTACATTCTGTGATCTCTGTCAAAAATTGCATTGTTTTTGTTTGAACAGCAGAGGGGACAAACTTATTAACAACACTGATGTTCCACTGTGAGTGCAACTTTTTTTTTTTTTTTTTTTACAAGAGCCAGCTGCTGCTATAGATTTAATCTTTATTATACCATTTTATTTTATAAAATGACTGCTACTATGACTGCTGCATTGTATTGCAATTGTACATACAATCAATCCTGCTACAATGTGACTAATGCATTCCTGAAAAATCTTGTGATCACTAAAATTGTGTTCTGAAATACAGATATCCAGGCTAGAGAAATGCGACTCCAAGGCTTAGTAACTTATGGCAAACGAAATTAATTCAAATAATAAAAATAGTGATACCAGTGGCCAAATGTAATTACAATATTAAATAAGAAATAATGATATATTAATAAATATCATAAACATCTCCTATGGG